CATTTAGGAACTAGAGGAAAGTTGTATTTTTCATTGTTGCTACATTGCCCCCTGACTGGCTCGCCTCGTCCCCGAGACCTCTCTGCAAGGGGAAGATCACCCCTTTTAAACTCCCTACCCCACACCCCTCCTGCCCCAATTTTGTAGAGAATGGTGATGCTTAATCTTTATTGTTTAGTTTGCATATCTTCAAGAAGAGTGAACACCAAAGTGAAGACAAAATCTTTGATTTAAAGAGGACTTTTTAAACACACACACACACACACACACACACACACACACACACACACACACACACACACGAACTTAGTCCTTATGTGCCCTGGATTTAAGGTAGCATTGTATAATAAACAGAGCACAGCATGTGCACGTGGTAGGTGTGAGCACCATTTCTGGGAGCAAAGCACCCACCGATTGTTCCTCCCTCAGGAGGGGAAGCTGTAGGCTGGCTCTGCAACCGCCCACCTTGACATTGGCTACCATGGTCCCAGCTCTTGCTTCCCCTTTGTCCGTTAGCAGCCCAGCGCCTGACCCACAGCGCCACCTAGGGCCTTAAATTTTGGCCAGCAAGTGCTTCTGTTGGATTGTGTAACCCCGGCAGCAGCTTTGGACAGCCCACATTCACCAAGAACCCCAACCTATTGCTTTAGATTTAATTCCCGCTCCTACTGACCCACCCCCTGCGGACAGACTAGAACCGCCTCATAGGGTTTCGAAGCTTTAATCTTCCACAGAAGCTGACTGCTGCCTCCTCTCTGCATGGAGCAGATGGGGGTTTGAAACCACCGACCTTCCCTTAGAAGCCAACCACTTAACCATTTGCCACAAGGACTCCTTGTGTTTATTAAGATCTCTTGAAAGCAAACCCTATTGCATTTAAATGGGATACCCTGACTCCCAAGAAGGTCCCCTGGTTTACAGAAATTCACCTCGAATCTCTGAAACATCACCTGAAGCAAATTTTAAATCCTTCCCCTCCACTCTCAAGTTCTTTTTGTTACTGTGTGTGTATACCCTTATGACTCATTCTCTTATTTCACGGTGAACAAATTTACACATGTCCCCCATCATTCACAAATAGACAACGATCCCTCCTTGGCTCAGTAGGCAGGCGGGTTGCAGTGGGTTTATTTTATTTTCTCGTCCCGGGCCCTGAGGTCCAATCAGGTCAGGGAATCTCTGAGGCAGAAGCTGCTTCATTTGGGTCATTGTAAATGAGTTGCTCGTTTTAGATTCTTTGTAACCGGAAAGCGCTTCCTTCTTACTCTGGATTTCTGTTCCTTTGGCAGGCCAATTCCAGCAGTGTCATCTTGAAGACGGGATTTGATTTTCTGGACAATTGGTAAAGTGAGCTAGGAAAGAGTAGGCAAGCACAACCAAGAATCCCGAATGTCTCCAGAGTGGTGTAGTGGAGGAGGGAAACGAGGCAAGATGTTTCCGTGTCTTTCTTGGCTTCTGCACATTCTTTTCTTAATCACTGGGGACTTGTTAAACATCATCTTGCCCAGATTGTTCCTTTTTTGGTAAGACCAAATATACATGCCACTTTCAATGATTTAAACGCAGTTTTGCGTTTGGAATTTTAAAAGACTCTTTGGAATTTAGTCAGTAGTGTAAATAAAACTTCGGTTTCCAGTTCTACCCGGGTTTTCCCCCCCTCAAAGAGAAAGTTGTTTCAGCCAGGTCACAAAATCCATAAACCTAATCTCTGTCCCGTTACCC